TCACAAGTTGTGAAATTTGTGATTTTGTGATTAGTGTATGCTGTAGCCGGCGGTTTTTTCATGCAAGAGCATTTTTCGACATCCACGTTATTGTGCATCGAGAATTACTCCCTACCCAGATCAGACCGTTAACATTTTGAGTCCGCTCTACTCCAACATTTTGAGGCCTTTGAGGGAGGACATTCGTTAAAAGCGACCGGATCTGTGGTGCGCGAAGAGTTAGATTCTTCACGAAGACAGGGGAATCCTCTCACCGAGCTCTCCGAGCTCACGAGTTTCTAGCCAAAAACAACATTGTAGCGCTTCCGCACACGCCCTGTCCGCTAGATGTGGCATCTGCGGACTTCCGTCTCTTTTCGAAGATGAAGATGCAGCTCAAAGGTTGCCGTTTTAACACCATTGCCGAGATCCAAGGCGAATCGTAGAAGCTGATGAGTCGATTACGGAGAACGATTTCAGGTCAGATACCAAAAGTGGCAGAAACGCTGGGACCAAGATATTAATTCGCAAAGTGACTATTTCGCAGAAGATGATGTCAAAACTTAAATACATACATATATATATATATATATATATATATATATATATATATATATATGAAGAAATATAGTCTTAAGATGTGCTATATTTATAGGATAAAGTGCTCAATATCAGAAATAGAGTGTGTAAATATAAAAGTGAACATAGAAGTCAACACTTAGAGGCTTACACTATATATATATATATATATATATATATAAAACATAACTTCGGCTACTTTTTTGATACCACCTTATATATATATATATATATATATATATATATATATATATATATATATATATATATATATTTATACACATTTTCATTAAATAATATAGACAATTTTTGTCTATTTATTTTATGTAAATTTGTTCGTAACATTTCATAAGTTAAATAACATTATCATTAAACCAAGAAGAAATTCACAATGATGATCCATATTTTTTTAATATAATCTATCTTTTCGGCTTACTTAAGCCATTATCAAAGATTAAATTATATTAAAAAATATACGGACACGACAGTGATGATAATATGTTTTGTGATTTACAAACTTATCAGATGTTACGAACAATTTTATATAAAATAAATAGACAATATATATATTATTTAATGAAACGTAAATGAAAATATGCTGCCTAAATATATATATATATATATATATATATATATATATATATATTCATATTTCATCCTATGCAAGGCAATAAAGCCAGTAAGATACAAGGTGTGAGGGACTAAGAGAAAAGGAAAATATTTAGAAGGGGTAACAATAAAAGAACAGGAGTGAAAAAGATAATGATTGACTTACGGTTGCATCTAGCCATTTCAACTGTAAAACGATAAGACGTTGCCGACAAATCTGATACTGTATTTGAATTCATAAAGATTAGTTACCAAAGAAGAAAGCTCATCAGAACAATTATCATGAAAAGGGAAGCTACGTTACGACGGTGGGACAGTGACTGCAGCCGAAATGCCAGATCAGGACCAATAACATTGCAGATTCTTCTTTGTATTTTATCAAGAATCTCTAAATACGTACCAAACGCATCAGATCAGATCTAACAGTAATTATTTAATGTATGGGCAATATATAAATGTGTAAGATAGATTCTTGTTATATATATAGTGTTCGGTTTCTTCAACGAAGAATTTGGGGTAGGAGGAAAGTGAGAGGTAGTGGCGGGGTAGTGGTAGTTTAAATACTTCTTAATTTTTGGAAATATCTAAATGGGTTTCTATCGTAGGTTGATTGCTATGAGGTGGTCACTCGTACAAATAATTAGAAATCACAATAATATTTCAGATACAATAGATGGATGCATTAAATGTCTTTGGAGAATTGATATATATATATATATATATATATAAAACAGTATTTTAAATCAATTAATTTATAATATATATATATATATATATATATATATATATATATATATATATAAAATATATATTATAAATTAATTGATTTATATTTTAAATCAATTAATTTATAATATTAATGCTCTGTAAATTTACATTGAGCACTATTTTATAAAAATAAAAATATCTATAAGAACACTGGATTATATATCTTACTGTTCTTTCTTTATATATATATATATATATATATATATATATATATATATATATATCAATTCTCTGTGTGTGTGTTTGTTTGTTCACGTATAATTGGTTAAACAATTTAGACGTATTATGTCTATTTGTTTTAGTTTTAATCTTTTCAATTCCATTAATTGATTTCTTGGTGTCTGTAGAAAATCGATCAACAAAAATTCCAAAATTGCCTTTCAAATAATTTTTATTTTCCCAAGTACTTTCAATATCATCTGAGACCATCTTCAGTGGTTACAGATGTATGGATGTGTCAAGATATTTTTTTACCGCTTTGCTAGGGAGCTAACTTATGTGATTTTTAAAAAGATTTTTTAATTGATGTATTTTGATTTAGTATTTTTTATATAACACTTTGCCGCTACAAACACTTAAGAACTTTGTTATTATACTTGTGGCCGACTTTATTTATTTTTGTCCGCAATTCTCTTATATAAAAAACTTCTAGAATTTTTAGTATTTGCTTATTAGTATCTTGATGAAGCACTGATGCATTTTCGATTGATATCTGTCTAAACTGTAAATGTGGACATGACTGTTCTAAACTGTAAATGTGGACATAAGTTTTCCTCTGATAAAATGTTAATGCCAATTGATATATTGACGATGACGAGAAAGCTTACATTTCACTTAAACAATCATAGTTTAATCTCAAAACATTTAAAGGAACACAAATGCCCACCAAGAAATTAATTCGTTGACTTGAAAGAATTAAGCTAAAATAAATTGACACAGTATGTCTAAATTATTTAACCAGACATGCTTGAATGAAAATATGCTTATATATATATATATATATATATATATATATATATATATATATATATATATATATATATATATATATGTGTGTGTGTGTGTGTGTGTGTGTGTCTGTGTGCATGCACTCGGAAGATCATACCTCTTTCATCAGTTTTGCAAAACACTCTATCAAATATATTTAAATGTGTCATTCGTAATTACCTTTTACTCTTTATATTTGCTATATGCTTTCAGATTATTAGAAATCATGGCTCACCCCAACTTCCCATTTTTACAGCACTAATTAATTCTAGCGTTTTTACAATCTCACTCGGTTTTTGTGCAATTCGTTGAAACTCGTCAAATTGGCTACTCGATATTTACTCGTTTCCTTCCCACGGTGACGGGATGTAACATAAAGGTCAGTTTAATGTTGGGGGCCCAATTGCATGTGCCTGGGCCAGCGCCAAAAATTGCTTAGTCCTTGCAACCAAGGTTGTGCTGGTGTCAATAATACAACCTACCGTCTCTTCCTAGTACAATTAGGGAGGTACTGCCGCGGATAACGGATCCCAGGACGAAGCATTTTTCCATTTCTATTTGTTTCCTTGCTCTCTGTCAAAGACTCAATTTGAGAGATATAAAGGTTGCCACCGACTCAAAAGGGCTGATTTTGGTGATTCGTTGTCTTCTTCTGCTTTTCCTTTTGTTACAAACCATAGGAATATTCAAGTCTCCAAATAAAACCATTTTTGTTTTTTTTGCATTTTAATAAAGTTTTCCATTTTCATACTCCTTCACTGATACCGTGCTTTCTAAATGTTGCTGCAACGGAGAACGGTCACTCGCTTCGTACTGACATGGCTGACTCTTGCTTAACAATAATAATTAAAGGACAAAAGTGTGACGCCATGACGCTAAGTATTTCACCCCAAGCAAGGCGGGAAGCCACTAGGACGCAAGAGGTTACAGAAAATATAGAGCGAGATCAGATAGGAGTGATAGAAGGAAGGATGAGGAGAAGAGTAGTGGATAGATCAAGGCGACTGGAGATGTCGATTGACATTACACTTGAATAGCTGGAGATTATAGCTCTCAGGGAAACTGGAATAGGGAAGAGAGTTTCACAGGCGAGAGGTGCGAGACATAAAGCTATTGGAGTAGAAGAGACGGCCTCGTAGGGCGCTTGAACTCATGAAGCCTGAGAATCAGAGAATGCAGCTCCTTGGAGCAATTACCATGAAAGTATTTGTAGAACAGACAGAGAGAGGCGACGGCGCGTCTGTGAGAAAGTGACTGTAAACGAGATGCCAGAGCAGGGTCAATTATATTGCATCTCCGCCTCTGGAGCCTATCAAGAACCCCGAGGCAAACAGAAGGGGCACCAGACCATATATGGCAGCAATACTCCATGCAAGGGCGAATTGTTGATTTGTAGATCTGGAGGATCGATTCCGGGGAGAAAAATTTCCTGACGCGGCACAGGGAGCCAACTTTCCTTGCGGTGGACGAAGCAATTGACTCAATGTATTTGTTCCATCTCAGGTCAGCCGTCAACGTGAGACCGAGCAGCCGCAGAGAGTTGCTCTCGAGAAGTTGAGCGTCAGACATTCTAATGGAGGGCAGGGAAGGATCTCTGTGGTTGTAACTTTGAGAAAGCGTCTTCGACGGCTGTAAGATGTTGTATCAGAATGTAACAGAAAGCAAAGCGGACAAATTCAGAGGCAAACTGATTTGAACAGACTGAAAAATAGGAAGATCCAATATAACAGATTGGGAATGGGTGAGTCGAAAATTGTGGCCATAAATGGGCAGCTAAGAACAAACAGCGTCAGAGAGGAAGCAAATGAAAATGAAGGAAATTAAAATCAAACGAAGGAAGAAGGGATTATAAGTAGAAATAAGAGAAAAAAGAAGGGACAACGTAAAAAGAGGTAGAGAGAAGCAAGATTAGCATAATGAGACGGGAATTAAAACAAAAAAAAAAAAAAACGACAGATTAAAAAGGAAGAGACTGAAAAGAGTAAGAGGAAGGAGAAAAGCGAGAACGTCAAAAACAGAAGAAAAACGATTTAACAAAAATAAAAAAAAAAAAAAAAGGAGAAAACAAAGAAAGAAGTTTACAGAAAGAATAACGGAAGAAATATATAAGGTGGAGAGATAGAAAAAGAAAGAAAAACGGAAAGAAAGAAAGAACGAAAAAAGAAAGACAAAGAAAGAAAGAAAGAAAAAGAAAGAAAATAAATAAAAAAAAACGAAAGAAAAGGAAGGAAAGAAAAAAAAAGAAAGGAAAAAGAAGAAAAAAGAATGAAAGAAAAATAAAGAAAAACAAAGAATGACAGATAAATCAAGAAAGAAAGAAAGAAAAAGAAAGAAAGAAAAAGAAAGAAAGAAAAAAGAAAGAAAAAGAAAGATAAATAAAGAAAAAAGAAAGAAAGAAAAAGAAAGAAAAAGAAAAAAAGAAAAAGAAAGAAAAATAAAGAAACAAAGAAAAATAAAAATAAAGAAATAAAGCAAGAAAGAAAGGAAAATAAAGAAAGAAGAAAAAAAGAATGAAAGAAAGAAAGAAAGATTCTATTTGTAACAACAAAGGATAATGGAAAATATTTTTATGTGACATGTTCGTTCAGGACGTGGGCATCTCAAGTTTCTGCCTCTAAGTTAAGAAAGCGAAAGATAAAAAAAAAATGACGCGTAAAGTAGCAACGAAAGAAAGAAGATCGGAAATTAAGAAAAAAAGATAATTCTAAAAAGAATGAAAGTCAATAGGGGAGAAAGAAAGAAAGAAATAACGAAAGAAAGAAAGAAAGAAAGAAAGAAAAGTTTCGTTTCTTGGAAAACACACAGAGAATATTGAGGGGCAATAGAACATACGAATTGCCAACCTTTTAAGGCTTGCTTTACCTTCAAGATGCACGTGAAAGACAACGCAAGCCAAGAGTGAAAGTACGGTGGAACAGCAGGGAGAAGTTGGTCTGCAGTGTGATGAAACAGATTGCAAGGGATACGTGAAGTGAAAAGCCTTAGCAACGTGCTTTGCGGCGATCTTCAATCACATGAACGGAAGTGCGTACACAAGATATCAAAATGCGGCATTCACTCAATTTCAGAATTTGTTATAGAAAAGCTTTCTAAACTGAAAGATGAGCAGTGGTTTCATATTTCTATGACATTGGCTAAGCGAATACAAAAGATGAATAAGGTTATTTGTTAAGCGTAGCTTAGTTGTGGCACAAGGCCTAAAGTTCGGGACTCTCATTGAGGATCAAACGCACTAATGTGTCGTATTTGATATAGCGAGACAAAATTGCTAACCATTACACCACATCGAGGGGCCCTTATAATTTTCTAATCGTAGAATGGATGTGGCACAAGGTCGAAAGTCCGGAGTTCCCACTGATCGGTCACAATTGATATAGCGAGACAAAATTGCTAACTATTACACCACATCGAGGGGCCCTTATAATTTTCTAATCGTAGAATGGATGTGGCACAAGGTCGAAAGTCCGGAGTTTCCACTGATGGGTTGCAATTGATGTAGCAACACAAGCTTGCTAACCATTGCATCACGTCGAGGGTCCCTTATGATTTTATAAGCGTTTTTTCGACCTTGTTCCACATATAAGCGTAGAGTAAAAGAATAGGAACTTATGAAATAAATAAAGGAATGCAATAAAGAAAAAAAAACCCAAAAAAACGTAAATCAAAAAAGAGAGAGAGTGATGAATGGAAGAAAAAAAAATGAAATAAAAACAGACGGCATTAAAATCAATCAACATTTGACTTTAATATACCCGTTTTTACTTTTAAGGAATACGCGGATAATGTGATGAAATTGGAACCAGTAGAGCCGAGTTCAAATTCCGGGCCAGTCTGCTATGTTCCCTTTTACGTTTACGTGTTTGAGAAAGGCATACATACTCTTAGTAAGGGTATGAGTCCGCTTCTTCTATTTCTAGCTAGGGGTTAAATAACAGAATAGACTCTCTCCAGTATATAAAAAGGAAAACTTTGAGTTATAAACCTGAGAAATCACTCCACCTTTCCAAAAATGCATGATAATTTTGTTGTGGAGTTATTTTCGCAGTGGAGGCTTGTATTTGTACTAAATCAATCCTAAATAGTTCGACGTACAAAACGTTAGGAACTTGATATAATAGGTATTACGCAGTATAAACTTGTTGTGGTCGCTGACTACTTTTGTATTCGACTACTGTCGTCCGACATCGACTAACAATATTCAGTCTCCCCCACCCGGGTCAACATGTGACACAAGGTCGGTTGTTTATTGTGGGTATTCCCGAGCCCGTGGGTTCGGCCCAAAAATATGCCCATTGAACCCGTATAAACGGGTTCAGGGCCGGTTTACCTCGCCGAACGAGACTCCGCCCTTCGGCGTAGCCTCGTTCGGGTTCCTCCCCGCCCGAAGGCAGAGAGTTCAACCGTTCAGTCGGTCGTCCGACATCGACTGACCCTTGTTTCTCTTACTACTTCTACTTATATTAGGTGGGGAGAGTCTATTAACTATAGAATAGGTGTGTTTCACCATAACAAATTTACAGTTAATAAGAAAATCTGTGGAGAATCAAGATCACCTACGCGTTAAAGGTAAAAGATAAAAAGCTTATAATTTATTGATTTTACAGTGAGGTTAACCCTGTAGAAAGGTCGTGGGGGACACTCGATGTAAAGCTACGTTAGGAGGGAGTTTGTACGGATGGGAACGGAAGATGACGATTAATCCAAGACTAGAACAGTAGTCATCGGGGAAACATCCTCTTGGGAGTCGGTTTCACAGAGAAGTTGTTTGTGGAAAGGAGTTGTTGTGTGGAACTTCTTACTGGTTGAATAAGGAGGGAATGCGTGTGGTTTTCAGCATTGTGTGTGTCATGGCGGGTCCTTATTCTGAAAGTTAGAACTGTCGGAACAAAGGAATGTGTTTCGTCCGAGCATAGCGATAGAGCAACGAGAGGCTTGACACATTCGGCCTGAGGTTGAAGGGTGGAAAATAATTCCTCATCCACAAGGACTCGAAGACGCTTCGAACTCTAGCGAGACTGAGGAGTGAGGTCCTGCTTCCGCTCAAATATGACAACATTTCTCCATTCTTGGCCTGTTCTGGCGCTTGTAAAGTTAGAGGAAGGCATGTGGAGTCAGGTACATGCTGGAGCGGTACGGGGGTACCGACTATTCTTTACATTATTACTTTATATTCTTTACATTATTACTTTTATATATATATATATATATATATATATATATATATATATGGGATGAGGAGGGTTATGTATCTATGTATATACGTTCGAGAAATAAAAGCATGGATCAAATGTGTCAGCAATAGTCATACTCATTCTACATCTTTAGTGATGGCTTGCATGTATAAGTATAAAGAAAAAGAAAAGAAAGATGGTTGCCTCGTCGTGTTTTCATTAGCAAATTAGTTTCGAAGACATCTATAATCGAAATGAGTTCAATCATCATTGTTTGCCCTACAGATGTACTTGCCTTAGACAAATCTAAGGATGTACTTATCAGTAAACCCACGTCGTGACAGAATGAGACACATGGTCGAAAATATAGTAATTCGTTAAGCGCAGCTTAGATGTGGTATACGACTTACAGACGTATCAAACTGAAACAGTGGTTCTCGTACCATCATTGAATTTAAGCAACGTTGAGCTTGGTCAGTACTTATATGGGTGACCGCTTGAGAATACCAGGTGCTGTAAGCTTGGATGTGCAGATGATGCAATGGATAATGGCTCGGAATTTTTAATCGGAGGGCCGAATTCAAATTCCCATCATAATTGATCTAAGGGGGTAAGCTTGCTAACGAATACACCACATCGAAGTTCTACTTTCATGGTTTAATGAGTTTAATCATCTTGCAGCTTTATTTTATAGTTTTGTGACTGCCTAAGATTGAATTAGATATTTGATGTCAGTTTCGTTGAGTTATATATTACCCATCGTTGCCAAAGATCAGCGTTCAATCCCAGTATTTCGAAAGCTGAAAACAAACAGGCAAGTCCATTTGGAAGGTTAGTGTATTATGATCTTATTCTTCATTCTTTTCTCACCTGGAGAGATTTAAAGTTGATATCTATTTAAATGCAATTATTTTCAAGGCGTTAGATGTTGAATTTATGTCCTTCATCTAGATTCACTTTGAAGCAGGAGAAATCCATTTGGATCTCTCTTTTCGATGATTTCCATCATTGGCCTCTTTGCTCTTTGAAAACGTTTCCATCCAAATCCCGATAATTTAGTTCAGTGTCTCCCCAGTCACGTTGAATGTGTTGGTTGCTTAACACTTATCCAAAGTGCGGAATTGGTGATCCGTGTTCAAAATCAGATGTAGTCGGTCTCACAAATAGGAATTTTGGAATGTCGTGAATCCATCTCTTCTCGGTCCAGCTGGGGGTTAAATAAGAGCTCTTTAGACTTGAATGGCAACCGTCCCAAGAAAAGAATATTATGAATTTAAATTGGAGAACTAACGGGAAACCGCATCATTATTTTTTTCCAAGAATTCATTGTAATTCATATATAATTAATTAAAAAAACAGAATCTGCGGAGAGCTGTAACCACTACATATGGCATTAATATTTCAAGTTGTCTGTCGCATGAAACTCGGGTATATATAATCGACTCTCCCGTCGAGATTCGACGTATGATGGTCAAGCAGATCAGTTTCCAGGAAACCGACAGCCCGACACCGGCACATGAGATTTGATTATAGTGGTGAAGGCTTCGTGCAGGACCAACCACACTTTTTGAAGGGACGAATACAGAGACCTGGTGCACCGAATGCCGCAAGGTTCCCAAACGACCCTCCGCAGGTTTTGAATTCAGAGTCATCCTTCTCCTAGACCAGTTGCCATCCAGTGCTATAGAACCCAGTCTGTCCTGCTATTTTACCCATAGCTGGAGGGAGAGGAAGAGGATTACCCAAAGGTATTAGCGCATAAGTGAATATAATGGAACTCGGCTCTGCGATTCCTCAATCCAAGCCGCTATCCATTACTACACTGCATAAATATATATATTACTCCACTCCATATATATATATATATATATATATATATATATATATATATATATATATATATATATATATAATAAACCCTGAGTTTCACACGCAATCTTCAGACACCTTGAATGTCTGAAAGCGTTCAAATCATCTCAGGATTACGACTAGAGGAATACTTTCATAGAATTTAACGTTGTTAAGCGTTTTTCGCTCTGTCAAGGCAATCTTGGATTCGACCACTTTAATTTTACTGAGTGGGCAGGTTTGCCTCAGGCCTTTTTTTTCTTTTTTCAGTATTGTCATTTTTGTTCGAGGCTTTATCTGGGTAAGAGTTTTATGTTTTGACAACAGCCTTCGACGGTTTTTGTTTTTTAATCCGTACATATATATATATATATATATATATATATATATATATATATATATATATATATGTGTGTGTGTGTGTGTGTGTGTGTGTGTGTGTGTGTGTTTGCATGTAAATATAATAAGTCGATGAAAGAAATTTGTGAGAGTAAAACAACAAACGTAATCCTA